CTGTTAGAACTCCGTCAGTTTTTCCTCTGAAGCAACCTCAGAAGGCGATGGCAAAGAAAATGCTGCCTATGGGTAGTGTATTTGATAAAAATGTTTTGGACACTGAAGGGCATTTTCTCGCACTCGAAAGGTGTATGTGGAAAAGAATCTCGACTAAATAATTTAAATCTAAAAAGTTTTAACAGAATACTTAGACTGTTGATTTCTCGCCAAATCTAACGAACCGTTACACTTCATATCACAAAAATCATCACACTGCTTGATATACGCATGATAGATTATGTCCGCCTAAAAAAATAAGTGTAAGCATTCTGAAGACTTCACATTAATGGTGTCTTTGCATAACAGTAAGCTAAGCAAAAAGAAAAAACGAAGACTGCTTGGCATTTTTTGCACAACCTCGTCGGAAAATCCATCAAAAGTAATCTTCAGTTGCAAGCGATTTTGCTCCGTTCGACTTATCTCTTTGAGAGAACCATTTGGAACCGCACAGCTGAAACAAATGAGAACGGTAAAGAGGCAGATGCAAGACAACAGCCAAAGTACAAACAGCAACTCAATAAAATGAAAATCTTCGTACCCTTCGGAATCGACGATAGGGCGAGTTCGACCACTGTTAATATCGTAAGCGGTCAGGCTAATAGTCCAGAATCTGCCTAAGTTCTGAAATACGGTTAGAAATAAAGGAATTGTTAGTTGATAATCAAGTAAGAAATATATATATATATATATATTAGTTTATATATTTGCAAATCTGCTGGGTACCCAAACTGGAACAATAAATGGCTACAAACACCTAGGATACGAACGCAATAAGTTTTTGCTGTTTCGGAGTTGGTGAATGTGAAAAAAGTGAAGGAGTTTTTCTGGCGCAGTGATACGTAACTCACTTGCAGGTGAAGAATTGCAATTGTTTTAGCACGCTATTAAGTAACTAAGCCAATTGCTTGACTAGGCCGTAAAATAACGTAAAATATGATTTTATGCTTCTAAAACTGAGTATGATTCGGAACGAAGCTCTTAAATTTCAGCTTCCCAGCTTTTGAAGTCCCAGATTTGAATCACACATACAGATCACAAACGTGATCTTGCCAAAATGCATTTCTGTGAGAATTTATTTAAAAATTTTGTAGATACCGGAAAGGGAAGAAACCGGATTTTTTGACGTAGATACCTATCTGACTTTTTGCAATAACTGTTTACTGCGTCTTTAAGTAGCCAGGAAAACAATAAGTGTAATAAAAAAGATGACAAGGCTATTATCCAAAGGCGTTCATAACATATGAGAGTAAATGTTTTTTCGTCATAATTTGGAAAATGGTTGTGGTTGCAAGCGCCTCCAATCTTGTAGGAATGAGTACCAGATTAGATTTTGCCTTGATAAGACAGTGCAAGGCGAATGGAACTCTCAAAAATCCGAGTTCGTAGTTTTGCTTACGCTCGGAATTTAACAGTAAATATCATATGAATTTAAATTTGGGGTCATAGCTCCAGAAATAGTTTGTGTGTGTTACTGGTTTGTAGTTTTGTAGCACAATGCGAGACTTTTTCTGTAAAATTTCATAACTGCATTTTTCTTCATAAATTACTGTTAGTGCACCTAAAATCAAAGGGACCCATCCAATCCCTTTGTACCAGTTTCACTTGATAGGTGGTGAACGAATACATTATTTTTCAAGAGTAATATTTTTAGTACTTCTCTGTTTAGAACGCATCCGGACAATAAAACTGAAACCTCGTGCGGCGTAATCAGAAGATAGCCATCATCGCCTGCATGTACAACCTCAGTAGGATTTCTATCCAAATCCATCACTTCCATTGTATACTTCGGCGATGCTATGTAACCGCGTGAATGTGCTGCCAGCTTCTGGTTCTCAGACCTAAATTTCTGACAACTAATCTCTCAGTTCTGCGTTTTTGTAAACTCTATAGCACTATCTTTTCATGCTGGACAAGATGCAATATGCTCCGCTAACAACTACGGTGCGAAATATCCCTAAATGAGCACCGGCGTGTAATTCAGAAAACTCCCAGTAAGTTTAGCTCTTGCTCTACAGCTCTAGGCAGTAATAACAACATCGCTCCATTCTCCAAATTTCTCTAAGACTGTCCACTTCTTTTTCTTTTTACGGCTGCCGAAATCTTGACATCTTTCCGGATTTCGAAAGTGCAGTACATTGAGGGTGCTCAAAGGAATGTTGAACAAAATTTTTTCTTTTTTGCCGTTACTGCAGTGCAGCAAATGAGCGATGGTTTAGGGCAGCCACAAATGTGATGAAATGACTAGGGCTCAAACTCACAGCAATATTTTTGTTGTATTTTCATCTTCAATTTGCAATCGGAAAGAGAGCTGCTGCTCTGGTATTAGTTCCAACCCACTGTGTAG